TTCGGTTTCCAGGTTTATTTAGATACACAATTGAAACTTTGTTCCTGACGGTTAACACACTTTCGGTTTCCAGGTTTATTTAGATACACAATTGAAACTTTGTTCCTGACGGTTAACACACTTTCGGTCTCCAGGTTTGTTTAGATACACAATTGAAACATTGTTCCTGACGGTTAACACACATTCGGTCTCCAGGTTTGTTTAGATACACAATTGAAACTTTGTTCCTGACGGTTAACACACTTTCGGTCTCCAGGTTTGTTTAGATACACAATTGAAACTTTGTTCCTGACGGTTAACACACATTCGGTTTCCAGGTTCATTTAATTACACAATTGAACCATTGTTCCTGACGGTTAGCACACTTTCGGTCTCCAGGTTTGTTTAATTACACAATTGAACCATTGTTCCTGACGGTTAACGCATTCATGTTTACTGTTTGTTTTTTTACACTGATTCTAGTTAACCGATATATAAATCTCGTGTTATAATTTCAAATTTTCTAACCTTCCTGAACACAATGTAGCCGTCCAGCTGCTTGAGTGAGATAGAATACGAGAATGTCTATGGAATGTACGAAGGTCTGGAAGAGAAGATTTCTAGCACGGCTACGTCACCAGAAAGGTAGGCCTGTAAAAAAAAAACTCTTATTGATCATTTTTGTACAGTCTGGACCGTTGTATCCAAGTTAAACTTACGAAAAAAATAGAGACTACTATCAATTTAAGTAGTTTACAATTGCACAGCATCGTCATTACGAAATAATTAATTACACTATAACACATTATCCCGTATTGTCTTTAAGTGGTCCATCACTGAAATAATTTGAATCACTCTCCAGTGAGATTTTGATGTCACAGTAGAATTTCTTATCATGAACTGGCTCGTACAATAGACAGTTTCTTTCTGACATGTTAACGAGTTCCAGAAATTTTCGAGTGGCGGGGTTTCCAGTGGCCCTGTACGAACCCGGCCTCGATTTGGCTCATTACGCCTACAGTAGTTCCTAGCAGTAATAGTGGCTGTGTGCCGGTCTGGAGTTCGTTTGTTGTTATTCTAGGGGGCCTGGTGCTTGATGTTATTTTCTATGAAGGAACAAGAAACGCCAACTGAGCCGGAAGACTTAATTTAAAAACCTTCTACTAATCAGTTATTTAAATAAATCAGTCTTGGAAGAACAAGCATGTCTAAACTAAGTGCTTTTCGTTTACAGTAATATTTTATTATAAAACAAACTTTTAGATGCGTCCCCCCTTTGTGAAAAAGTTGGCGAGTTTCTTAGGTATAAACGACGTGACGAAACTCCCCTTTGATATGTATATATTATTATTACTTCTATTTGTGTATTTATTACCTCAGTGGCATCACGTTTAATTTAACATCCGCAGAATTTTTTCCAGAGAGGGACAAAGTTTTCGGGGGGGGGAGTAAAGTAGTGTGAATTGAATAAAAAAATCATGCACATACGTTGAATGAATAAAGAAAGTATGATGTTTCTAATTTTCCGGGGGAGGGGGACAATTGACCCCCACCCCCATGGCCGACAGGAGTTCTTATTCTTGTCTGAGTTTTGCTAACACACATCATGGATGTACGCAGTAAAAGAAATTCGGTGCCATTTTTCTTCATCAGCAGTCTGTACAGTATAACATATTGTAGGCCTTCAGACGATAAAGATTTAACTGTAAATGACCAGTTTTAAGTAACAGTCTTTTACTTTTTGTAGTATTTTGTGATTCAAAAGAGTATTTCAGTTAGTATTACGTAAGTTGGTGTTTTTTTAAAAAAGAAATGTCTGTTATTCGTCCGTTCTTTGTCAAAACCTCGTGAGATAGTATTGGGATTACGGCCGAAAATATTGTTAACAGCAAGGGTACTAACGTATAAAACAATGCATTTTTTATGTATAGAAACGTTGACAAAGTTTACTTAATTAGCTGTAGTGACGGCCAGGTTGATTTTTAGCTCTTATCTCAGTGTATAGCTTATTCTGGTGGAAGTCATTACTTAAAAATAAATTATGCAAGTAAACTACTTTAGTTTGCAAGAAGGCCAGGTGGTTAGGGGGCGCTCGACTCGCAATCTGCGGGTTCGAATCCCCGTTACACCAAACATGCACGCCCTTTCAGCCGTGGGGGCGTTACAATGTGACGCTCAATCCCACTATTCATTGGTAAAAGAGTAGCCCAAGAGTTGGCGGTGGGTGGTGATGACTAACTGCTTTCCCTCTAGTCTTACGCTGTTAAATTAGGGACGGCTAGCGCAGATAGCCCTGGTGTAGCTTTGCGCGAAATTCAAGACAAAGAAATTAGTTTGTAAGATCCGAATGTCAAACTTGACCTCCGTTGATGTGCTTTGAAACACACATACACACACTGCCTTCTTTTACAGTTTGATTCGAATTCACGTGCTTCATTCAATCGTGTGTCGGTAGCTGCTTGCAGTCAAAGTTGATAGTGCGTCGGGGCGAAGAGCCCCAATTTTCTGGTAGTCTAGTGTTGCAACTTCGTGTTAGATTTACACGAAACAACTCTTGCGAAAAGTGAAATCTAGCTAGTCTCTCTCTCCCCCACCTCACCGAATAATTCTTCGCCGTGTGCACCGATCGTGCCACATGAACGAGTAAGGATGCGCGTGCCTTTTGGGGCGTGCGTAAAAGGCGTAAGGGGCACAAATTACATTCTTATTGGCTTTTCAGGAACGTTGTAATTGCCGTTAGTGAAGGCGTGGTGGTGGTGGTAGACTCGGTAGCAGTAATGTGTCAGTATAGGTCGATAAACCTTACTAGTAATTATATTTTTAAAAACACACGGAATCATTTTGTTAGAAAACTAACTCACTTATTGGGCTGATAATTCTGAGTTTTAAACTTACATTTTTTTTATATTTCAAACCTTCTTATTTCACGCGAAAGAATAACGGGCAATTTTTTTTGCCCTTGCTTAATAAAATCGGTAACGAAAAGTTGAGGCGTCTGAATTTGTTAGTTTAAGTATTTCTGTGAACATGTACTAAGAATTATTGAGTGTTCAAAAAAAAAAACTAAGAGCGATATATATATATATACATCTCTCTATTGGTTTGGCTACACCATCAGTCTTAATAATTTTATGTAACTTTTATCTATTTTTAAACATTAAAATTGTACAGTTATAATGTTTGTTTCAATCGGACATATTCCCAGCACTTTAAAGTGGTGTCTGTCCGTGTATTTTATATCTGTAACTTTATATTATGGTTAGCTTTGGGCCTCAAATTTGTAAATTAAGTTAAATCAGCATGTTAAGTTTTCTTTCTCTGTGGCGATCAGAGGTATGTGGCACAGCGGTATGTCTGAGGACTTAAACGCTAGAAACCGGGTTTCGATACCCGTGGTGGGCAGAGCACAGATAGCTCATTGTGTAGCTTTGTGGTTAATTACAAACAATCTAGTGGCTTATCCACGCGAAATATAATTGCTTGCTGCAGACATGCTCTGTTCAACAATAGTCATGTATTTATTCTGTTCTTGTTACAACAGTGTGTAATGACAGTTACAGGTTTATATTGTTTAAATACAGTATAATGAGTCGGTTTTTAAGCATCATAACTACTATGTATTGTTACTAAACAGTGAGAGATTATTAAAATGTATTGTTTAAAAACAAAATTACCATTGTTGGAAGTAGTAGTTAACTGTTTTTATTTTTGTGATTTATCTGTTATATAGATCGAAAACGTTGTCGTGAACTCGTAATGTTAAAGTGTTAGGGTTTTTTTCTTGTCGTTGTGTTCTTGAAGGTTCCAACTGAATATAAAAATATAGAGAAATTAATAGACAAGCCTTCATGAAGTCATTCATGTGCTTGAATGTTTGTGAGAATAAAAGTAGTACTGAAAATATTTTAAGGTATTGAAAGTTACACTACTGCCATCTAGTGCCCATTAGGGCAATTAAAGTAAATATATTGGAACTATATCACCCTAGTTAAACAATAACAAAGGGATGACTGCGACTGTAACTCATAACGTGACCAGTCATAAGACTTGAAATGTTAAATCCACTCTTGAATTTCAATGGCCTGTGTAGGTACATGAATTTACATGTGTCAAAGTATGTATATGACCTGTTACATGACATATATATATTGTGTGGTTGTTCAATATTCTGTGTTATATTTGTACGCTAATGTTAGGGATAAATAAATTGCAATTCATAAAAGAAGTGAATATAATAATTATTTGATGACTGTCTCTCAAAGCCAATTCAAGAACAAGGGACCTTTTGGTCCATATAAACCCCCTCTTATCCTTTAACCCTTTCACTGAGGCCAGGGCGTATCTTTCCCAGTGCTCTGAGAAATCTACGTCCCAGCTGCAGTGAAAGGGTTAAGTTTAATTAAACACTAAAAAACTCAAAACCAATCCTTATCATTCCAATATTTATCAAGTCTTCCCTTAAACCCTCTTAACTTAGCTGTGTTTATCACAAATGAAGGCAATCCAATCACCCTGTTAGAAAAATAAAACTGTCTTAACTTTATCATACTTTATCATATTTATTTTTGTATCCCCTAGTCCTACCATTCTCACCTTTAAATATAAAAAAAAGATGATGCATCAACACTATCAATTCCTTTTACAATCTTAAATACCTTAATCAGACCCCCCCCCAACTCTTCTTTGTTTCAAGAGAAAATAATTTGAGAGATTTCAACCTCTCCATCCCGGGCACCATTCTAGTAACCCTTTCCAATAATTAACACGTCCGTCCTAAGGTAAGGAGCCCAAGACTGAACAAATTTGACCTAACCAATGACCTGTTCAATGACATTATAACCTCTTTATACTTGTATTCAATATATATATATGTACACATATATCCTAAAAATCCTATTTGTTTAAGTGTTTTTATAACTTAAGTTATAGATATAATACTTATTTCTTGTATTTCAGATGCCTTAGTCCACGTTCAAGGTTTTTCTATGAACCATCTCCTCTTTCAACAAATGGTTAGTAATTTGGCTTATTTGGATGTCTAGCACTAGTGAGGTTTGTGAAACTCTACACACGTATACTTCAAATAAAATTTAAACTTTGAGTGTGCTGTACTGGTCAGATTCTCCAGGTCATATGATTACAATTAAGTGTTGTTCCAGTTGGTCTGCCACACTTTGCCCTTTTGCAAGACTGCTTAGCAGATTTGGGTCCAAATCATGTTTGACCAAATGATTCACTTGGTCAAGCAAGTTACCTTGTGGCTTAGAATGCTTTGACCTTTTGCAAAGACCAGTAGTATCACATGACATCCGTTGTAGTTAGAACTGGGTTTTAGATTTTCATGTTTGCTACAATATCACGAGTGTAAATAAAGTCAAACAAAGTTGCATATAAAAGTAATTTTGTGAATCGAGAGGTTTATTTATTGTGGCTTGAATTAAATCGGCATTACAATGGAACTTAGAATTAGGTAAAGTTAAGTAACTCGTTAATTAAAAATGTCTTTGCTCTAGAAGTAGAAATAATTAAGCTAATTGACAATTTTGAGTGAGTGGCAGAAGCAATACCTTATGTTTTATGCAGTTCAACAGATGCCGTAAAGTATAACTTTTAATATGGTACGCCTTCACAGAATAGCTAGTCAGGAATTGTTCTGGTTCACAGATTTGTTAATAAAGGATCAGTATTGATATGGTGAGTGTTCAATGATTAGCTAGTCAGGGATTGTTCTGGTTCACAGATTTGTTACTAAAGGATGAATATTAATGTGGTGAGTGTTCATTGATTAGCTAGTCAGGGATTGTTCTGGTTCACTGATTTGTTACTAAAGGATGAATATTAATGTGATGAGTGTTCATTGATTAGCTAGTCAGGA